AATGGAAAGTTTCTTCTTAAGGGGCTTATGTGTCCATGTTCTTAGAATGCTCCTGCGCGATGTGCAGAAACCCACCCTGTTTTGGCTGGGGACCCTGGTATCTTTCTGAAGCAATTCTTCCTGAAGCTGAATCTTCTGGCGACCCAAACAGACGGATGCAATGTGGCTCTGACTGCCACACGCCCTGCAAATGGCAGAGAGAAACCTGCAGTCAGCTCGCTTGTGGCATCCTCCACACCTGAAGCATTAAAGAGATGCTGGAGCCTTGACCGGACATCCCTTCTGCCTCCTCTCAGCTGGCTGTGAAGTCTGTCAACCTCCTCTTCAGGATCCACTTCTGATCCTTCTCGAGCGACCTCTTGATGGATGGTAGCTGTGTCTGGAGGATTCCTGGCGAGGCACAAGGACTTCACAGCCCCGCCCGCTGCTTCCTCAGCTGCCACCTCTCGCAACGCATCTTGGAAGGAGACATCTTCTTTTGCAAAAATCTTTTGTTATAAGTCTCTGCTCCTTAAGCCACAGACAAAACGATCTTGCAGCCTCTCTTCCAGATCCTTGAACTCACAAGGTCTGGCTGCTTGCCTTAAGGCTGCCATAAAGTCCGCAGCAGATTCACCCGGCCTCTGGTCTCTCTGCTCGAATGCGTGCCTCCAAGCAATGACGGATAACTTTGGCTGGAAATGTTCCTTCAACATTTTCTTCAAGTCAGCATATGTTACTGACTCCAGAGGTGCAGGGGCCACCAGATTTTCTGCAATGTCAAAAGCTTCTTGTCCACAGGCACACAAAAGAGTTGCTGCCTTCAGGCCATCTTCTCTAATCTGATTTACTCTGAAGTAGTTCTTCACCTGTGCTACATAGGAATTCTATCTCTCTGGGTGGGAGACATCGAAATCAGTCAAGCGGCCAATCATCGACATCATAAACTTTACGACCTTCATCACTCGCTTCCTCTGAAGCTGCTGTTTGGGGAAAGGGTCGTTTAGCTGAGCTCACCCTCCAGTGACACTGTACTGGCAGGCTGGGGCGCTGATTCAGACGCCGTCTTCCCCTCTTCAGGACTTCCTGGGTAAGTCCTTAAATCTTTTGTTTCAGTTTGCAAAGGATCCCATCCTCGTCGTCAGTGTTGTATACTTCATTCGCGTGCAAATGATGAAGACACATGACGATGCTGAACAAACACTTTATTCTCCTTCTATAACAACCAAGCAAAAACAAAAGGCACATAGGCCTTTTTATATGGCCAGAAGCCCGGACAGTGTCAACCAATACGAACAGAGCGTTTTCACACCTTGTGCATGCACATAAGGCCAGCGCCACTCTGTCTAGTCCTGGGCAGCTTTTGGAATGCCCGGGACCAATGCAACATCCCGAGCCTGCTTTTGCAGGCTCAGGACACAACATAAACAGCCTAGACTTAACCATTGTTGATAAGTAAGACAAAAAAGTCTGGATAATGGACGTGGCAGTTCCTGGAGATATCAGGATAGAAGAGGAAGAACTGAAGAACATCACAAAATACAAAGACCTGCAAATAGAAATAGAACTAGAGCTCCTTGGTGCTCTCTGAGCTTGGTTGTTTTTTTGCAGACATTTCATTATCCAAACTAGATAACATCATCAATGCTAATGATGTTACCTAGTTTGGGTAATGAAACATCTGCAAGAAAATAACCAAGTTCAGAGAGACCAAGGACCCCTCATTTCAACCCTGAGTTACAAATATTCCCCTTTATCAGTAGAAGAGTCCGGCAAAAGAAAGCAAGAATAGTACCAATAGTAAAAAACACACTGGATGCAATTCCAAAGCAATTGGAGCACCGCTTGAACTATTGGCATTGCCAAAATCACCATAAAACAATTACAAAAGGCAACTTTACTTGGAACAGTTTATATCAGGGGTGTCAAACTGCCGGCCCACAAGCCGGATGCATCATAGCGAAACTGCGCCCAACCCATTGCCGGCAATGGCAAAAAAGTTGTGATATGTTGTGACATGTCACGTGATGTTGTGAGTTTGACACCCTTGGTTTACATCCTGCAAGAATACCATTAACACCATCAAACATCCACATCTGCCTATCCCAGATCAATCAATCAACCAATCAGTCAGAACAGAGCTAGAAAGGACCTTGGAGGTCTTTTAGTTTAGCCCCCTGCTCAAGCAGGAGACCCTACACCATTTCAGATAGGTAGCTGCCCAGTCTTTTCTTAAAAACCTCCAGTGATGAAGCACCTACACGTTCTGAAGGCAAGCTGTTCCACTGATTAATTGTCCTCATTGTTAGGAAGTTTCTGTTTAATTCTAGGTTGCTTCTCTGTTTGATTAGTTTCCATCCATTGTTTCTCGTCCTTCCCTCTGGTGCTTTGGAAAATAAGTTGACCCCCACCTTTTTGTGGCAACTTCTCAAATACTTGAATACTGGTCCTGGGAAGGATTTGATAGATGGATAAAAATGCTAAATCCAGTCTAAATATCTGGCTGACTGTGCAACCAACCATAATAATAATTGCTGTTCCTCCTCAGCCAATGTAATTTCTTCTTGGATAAGCAGCATCTGAAGGACCATATCTTGCCCACTTGGGGGAGAGATTTCAAACAGGAAGGCTGACTAGCCCCTTTTTGTTCACATTGCTTTTTCTTTAATCTTTTAGAAATTTTTAATGTCAGTTTTAGATTATTATTGTAGTGAATGTTCTAGCTTCTTCTTTTTTATGACTGCATTTGTTCTTTTATTGCAGTTTTATTTGAATTTTGTTTCTTTGCTTGAGTGCCTAGTGGGTAGACTAACACTTTAAATCAATAAACAAATTATGAATGGGCCAATTTTCATTTTTATTTAGATGCTTCTGTAGAATGTGAAGTATTTTTATAGCTTTGAGTTTGTGAACATAGTTCCAAAAATGGATTTTATCCAAAATTCAGAATTATTTTTAAAGGGAACTATTTTTTTTTTTGTTCTCACAAAATCTTAGTGGAGATTGGTTGTCTGTAGAAGCAAAAGGAAGGGCACTGCTGCTACCCGTCCACTTCACTCATAAAGCTAATCAGCAATTGTTGGTTTCTGACCCTATTTCTGTGGCTTAAGGAAATAATAGTGGCAGACTGTTTCAGCATCCATGGATGGAAGATTGGCAGCTAATTGTCACTAGTGGATGGGTTTTTCCTATTAGTTGTTTTTGCTTTTATTCAATGAGCTGTGAATAGTTCATTTCTTTTGAATTGAAAGGAGAGGGGATCAAAAATTGAGTACCAGCAAATAAAAACTGGCATAGTAGAAGTGACTTTGATTTCATCCTAAGAGACAGAACTTCGCTGTCTTCAAAGAATGAAACTGGAATTTCCAGACATCTCAAGTTTGATTTGGATCTGAATATGGAAATGAACTTTGAAAATATGGTATTACTTATGAGAGGAGGAGTTAACACGAGAGATGGGTAGATCACTAGAATATTTTCAGTGTTTCTTGGGACTACATTTCATCTACTGCTCACCATATTATTCAAGATGAACAAATAAGTAGGGGGATCTTTTCTAGAAGAGCTAGGTTCATCTGCTGCAGCAAAAATAAAATGAAACAGCATTCTAAAGTTGTACAGTAATGATTTTGTTGTAGCACAAGCAGTTCATGGCATTGCAAAATATATAGAAATACTAGGAGCAAGATAGTACAATATGAGCATAAGAATGAATAATAATGTAGTAATCGAAAACAGAGGTTGGTTTCAGAGCATCTAGTTTTGTAAATCTGATATCTCAACTATAGTTCCCAGACTCATCTAGACCAGTATGATCAATACTGGTGTTGGATGGAAATTCTGGGGGTTGTAAGACAAAAGCATTTGGAAGTCACCTGATTCAAGAAAGCTGACATTCATGGTTGTACCAAGTTATTTCTTGGTCCATTATGTTTTTGTGAATGTACCTATGTTTTAAAACAGTATTGAAGCAGTGGTCTTCCTTTAAAATGTCACTTCATTATGAGGTGAGTGGGACTGGAGGTGGATTTCTCAGTGGTGGCTGTGCTTTGTAGAACTGCTTTCCAAGTACTCAGCATTTTAACAGACTTAAAAAAACATCTCTTTTTAATAAAGCTGAAGAAGCTCTTGGATGAAAAATGAAACATCTTCTAGGAAAAAACAAAATCCAGTTGCTTTTTGAAAAAGCACTTTTGGGACATATCTTTTTAATGTTTTTAGCTGGTTGTTGTATTAATCATATTGCTGTTTTATTTATGTCTTATTGCTGTGCCTCTGGAAAGAGATTTTGTGCCGGCCAAATTATATTTTAATGTTGGGGTATATTTCTAAAACATTGTTACATTAGTCTATATATTTATATACTGTACATATTTATTATCTTCACTAGATTTGATTCAGAAAAACAGTGCATAGTTAAATAAAATAATATCCTAAAGATGGCCAATTAGATATCATTTGAAATGGCCAATTATATATCAACTCTCTGCTCAGTATAGTAATTAGAATTAAAATATGCCTTTGAAATGTCTATCTTTAAATTTAATGTATCTACCAAAGCACACCCTACCAAAGCCTAACTGGTTTCATTGGAAACTTCCCTGGGATGTTTTTTCCTAACATTGATCTGGAATTTGGCATCTGTCTGTCTGTCTGTCTGTCTGTCTGTCTGTCTGTCTATCTATCTATCTATCTATCTATCTATCTATCTATCTATCTATCTATCTATTATCTATCTATCTTTTTATGTCTCCTATCTCACTCTGAAAACAACTGCCTTTTTGTAGTTTAAGATAATTATTCATATCTTGCACTATGAGATGTTAAAGAACAAGTTGTAATCCTCTCAGACTTATTTTCTAGACTATATTTACTGATTTCTCTCAATGTCTTCTGCATAAAATTTAATTTCCAGTTCCCTGATCTGGAAACATTCAGTTGTGAGAAGCCCTTTCTTTCAGATAGCTAAATCTCATGTTATTTTAATAAGTCCTACTATATTTATGCAACTCAAAACATACTTCAATGTTTACCAGCTTGATGCCTTGAAAATAGAGTGGTCTTCAACTTCCATACCCCAACTATCATATTGCCAAGAGAATTGGCAGAAGAACGTGCCTGATAAAAGACTGGTGTATGCATTGTCCATTGCTTGAGATGATTGACTATGGAACTGTGAAAAGAGAGATGTAATAGTATTATTTAATAGTATGAGTATAGCATGAATTCAGGTAGTCCTCAATTTACAACAGTTTATTTAATTACCATTCAAAGTTACAACAGCACCAAAAAAAGTGATTTATGATAGTTTTTCATACTTACAACCATTGCAGCATCCCCATAGTCACATGATCAAAATTCAGAAGTTTGGCAAACGATTCATATTTATGATGGTTGCACCATCCTGGGGTCATTTGAGATTTTCTGATAAGAAAAGTCAATGGGAAAGCCAGATTCGCTTAACAACACTGTTATTAATTTAACAACTGCAATGATTCACTTAACAACTGTGGCAGGAAAGGTCATAAAATGGAGCAAAATTCACTTAATAATTGTCTGGCTTAGCAACAGAAATTTTGGGCTCCATTGTAGTTGTAAGTCGAGGACTATCTGTATAGTTTTTTGGTACATACATTAGAATTACAGTTTCATTTTTCTTCTTTTGTTATAAAAAAAAAGATATTGATGTTGGTGGTAGAAAGATTTGATGAAGAGAAGATGGTACAAAGAAAGAATTGTTTCCCTATGCTGCTTTTCTTTCTTCTACCTCACTCTATAAGATTTTAAAGTCATGTGCCAAACTGGTAAATTTGTTTACCTCATATTTAATTTAGTACAAGCTCCCCAAATTTACTATTTACCTTGTGAATGTATGTATTAGTTCAATGTATTGCTATTTGCAAAGCAATTCTGGCAATTCTGGCCCATCTTTTAGACCACTTTAGGCTGCCAACAAGTCCTTTTTAAAGAAATTGACTTTCCGAACATCAGATCGTATGTCAAAAAAAAAAAAAAGAAACGGAAGAATTGGCAGGATTTCCAGATCTCATGTGCCATTGTCTCATGTCCAGTCTGATAATATACATAGCTCACATCTCACACAACTCACATCACAGGATCGTTGTTATGGTGAAAATAGGAGGAGGGAGGTAGATTTCACATCTTGAAATATTTGTAAAAGGCGGGATACAAACAAATAATAATGTGCCTGAAATGGTAAAATGCAATGACTAATTTTTGTCTAGCTCCCAGCACAGTAATGACAATATCCTGATGTGTGTTATTAGCAGAATGGATGTTCTCAATTACCACTCTTACGACAAGAAAATAGTTTTGATCAACTGGTACACTTCAACATAAATGTAGATCTCCTAATAATGAAAGCAATACATTGTTTAGGGGTTTAGAAAGATAAGATATCCCTTAGGAATATCAGCCTAACTATTACTTAATAGCAATGAAAAGTTAAATTGTCTGATTGACAATGGAGGCTTGAAGGTCTATTTTTTTAAACTTACAATGAGATTTTAGTAACTACTGTTCTGAATGGTAGAACAATACTTTCTTTCATTAATGACTATGTTTTTATACCAACTGTCTTTGGAATGAATCAAGCTTGTGTTTTATGGCTATTTGTTTGTTACCTTAATGATCCCGGTACTTCAAAGGGAGGAGCTGAGTAGATTTTCATCTTCTTTTAATCCATCAAAATCAAGTTAGTTGCAACTGATGGGGGGAATCTGACTGTTGTGCCCAGATACATCAGCTCTCAGCTGAAAGTTTGCTGGTTGCTTGGCAACCTTCTTCCAGGAAGATAGATGTCCTGCCATTGGTTCCTTTTTTAGCTGAGACAGAATATATTAGTGATAATGTTCTGCTGCAGACAAAGGGAAAAGCAACTGAGCTTAGCATTCAGAGACTATTTGTATTCCTCAATAGCTGCCTCCAGTTTCAGGATTAGGTGAAATGTTCCTTTTTAATTCTTCCCTGTTAATTTACTTGACTTCATAATTTGAGGTTCATAACAATAGTGCGAACCCTATTCATTTCATTTATGCACAATCTGTTCTCCTTCCAGAAATGGAGACTTTAACTGCCCTTCTCTTTTATGTGTGTATATACATGTGTGTGAACATGCATACATAAATACATAGCGTGTCTCCAGAAATAAGTTCAGAGTGGTATTATCAGCATGACTGGTAATAAATTGAAATTTATATTTATGGAAATATTGTCATACATTGGAAATGTTAGAAATGAATACATTTAATGTTTTCTCAGTACATATGTAGGACACAGAAAGTTTGCAGAATCTCTTTCTGGGATTCATTTTTGCTGGTTGCTCACCCACCCACCCCCCACATACACATATAAGTAAGACTGGAATGTATGAGTTAACAAGCCTAAGAAAGCAGGAACATCATTATTTCCCCAAAAGATTTTCTAGCTAGGAATTAAAAAAGAAGTTTCCTTATTTTAATGGAAATTACTTACACTCATGTGTATTCTATAGCCATACACTTCAGAATAAGGGTCATTGGTTTTGACAAGACATGCATAGGATTGTATTCTTAGTTTTTCTTCCTTTTCCTTTAACTTAACTTCAGCTAAGCCTTTCTGTGTTGGTGTCCAAGGAAGATGCTGCTTTGCTTTGTCTGGGTAGCTGTTCTGATTAATGTGTCACACAGTAGTAGTTCCCAAACAGTGATTCTGGAGATACAGATGAGCTTGGATATCATTTGGTATCTTCCTCTCTTGGATGATGTTTGTATTTACAAACTTACCCTCCCTGCAGTTTAATTAAGATTTCCTGATGTCTATATCCAACATTACTGCAGTGGGATGTCTCTTTTCTCCATCTCTTATAATGCCCAAATCTCAACAGCAGATTTAATGAAAAGGAACACTTGTTCAGCTGGCAGATGCTATTCTGCCCATGATTACATCAATGGATATATTTCTCAGAGTAGAATTTGATTTTACAAAGGAAATTGATAGATATTGCTTACTTCTGTTTTTAATGGTGAAGGATATTTACAGGAATGAATGAACAGGCATAAAAATAATCCTCTACATTTGCATTAACAAGTATTCAGGTGTTCTAGAAACTAGTAACCTTGTGTTATATTCTGTCATATTAATTAGCTTCTTCCTGCCATGTCCTGCTTCAGCTTACTTTGTTGATTTAGATTCACAAAAAGTTGTTTCAAGTATAACACAAACCTATTTAATTGACTAAACAATTTTTTTTTAATTTGCCTGCATTCCTGTACTCCCGTAATCTTATTAACCAGATTATTACAGCACAACCTTCAATAGATTATATATCTGCTGAGTGGCTATAGTCCATTCATGATTATGTCTTTAAATATCAAAATATTTGGGGGATGTGATATATACCACATTAAATGGGTCATTTGGTTTTGGCTTATTATTTATTTATGTGTTTACACAAATGTATATACACAAATTATGACATATAATCCAAATTCTGCACTGTAGTCTTGCCCTATATTTCACATACTTCTTCCTCTTTTCCCTATTAGATCTTCAGCTGCATTTCACTCTCAGCTGGATACAACAATCAGAGATCTACATGCAGAAGTATGCTTGCCACCAAAACACTATGGTGGAGTGTCAATTTAGGCTAGAGGATGTGAAGAGCAGATGAAATAACTTGCAGTTTTGTCAGAGGCCAGAGGAGTGGTTCTCAAATCCCCTTTTTCTTTTCCTGATGCTGCATCTCACCCATTCCTGGACTTGTTTGAAGAATGTTGTCCATTTGCCAGTGAAAATAAATAGTATGTAGTCAGCCCTACCGATCTAATAATACTCACATCCGCCTAAATAGCTTTATGGTATTTAAAACACAGATGCATGTATTATGACAAGTATTGCAAGTCATATTTTATTTTGTCAAACAATAATTGAGATTGTTATGGCGTTTTTAAAAAAATAATTACTATGGAATAATTGAATCATTTGAGATTACACTCATATTAGTAGGAAAATGAGACTCTTCACAGGAATATTGAACAGTTAAGTAAGAGCTAGCTTGTCAACCTTTTAAAAAGCAGGCTTTTTACTGGAAAGCTGCATATCAACTTGTTACTGAACATGTTATTTCCTAAAGCATATAACATGTCTTCCCTGATTGAAAAGCTCCTATTCAGGTTTCTTATCCTTCACTGCTGCATATATTTGTTTCTCTTTGTTTTGTTACATATCTCAACTGCAGAATTGATAACTTCTATCAAAGAAATAGCAGAGTTCCCTTAAATGATGGCAGAGCTCCCTTAAATGATAATAGTATTCCCTGTGCTATTTATGGAGTGTTTGAATATTGCTTTTTTTTTTTTTTTTTTGAGAAGACAAGTGTACTTGCATGCAGAAGAGAATTGGGTCTGACTCAGTGAAATGAGGTTGAAATGATAAGCAGAAACATCTTAAAAACTGACACTACCTGTTTCTATATAGATATATTTGGAAATAAATGGAGACTACAATGAAATTAACCATAACTTTCTCAAACATCTGTATGGGATTTATACAACTGCTCAGTTGTACTGTGAGCTCTTTGGATTTGGCTTATTGTGTTGAATGAATCAAACTAACTCTGGTTTATTGAGTAAGCCATAGTTAAACAAACCATGTCTTTATGCAAGGGTGGGCAATAGTTGAGGGATTAGGAGTATAACTCAGCCTCCTAATTATATAAAATGCTGCAAACAGCCATATATATATATGGATAGATTTTCAAAAATCTTGATGGTTAGATGGTTAGATTTATTACAAGAAAAAAAGTTGTAGAATTTTGAAAAATGGATATCTGTGTATCCCCCCCCCTTTTTTTATAAACAATTTTTATTAGTTTTCCATTTTACACCAACAGAACTTAAGAGCCAGCGTGGAGATATGGTGGTCAATTACAAAAGAAACAATAAGATTATAAATATACAATTCAGACAATATTTCTTAAAATTTCCCTCTCTATCTATGTAGAATATTATAATCAAATAGATTCAAATAAATTCATTCATTAATATATCTAAATATAGGTTTCCTTAATCAATAGAAACTTTCAGCCGCTCAATAACAATATAATAATCAAATTAATACAATCCTATAACCAATTCATTCATTCATATATTACTATATGTAAATTAAATGCTTAAATCAAAACGAACATTCTCTGTTTATAATAATAATAATGATGATGATAAAGTTGGAAGGGACCTTGGAGTTCATCTAGTCCAACCCCTTGCTCAGACAGGAAACCCTATACCATTTTGGACAAATGGCTGTCCAGTTTCTTCTTAAAAACTTCCAGTGTTGGTGCATTCACTGCTTCTGGAGGCAGGTTGTTCCACTGGTTAACTGTTCTAACAGTCAAGAAGTTTCTCCTTAGTTCTAGGTTGTTTCTCTCTTTGGTTAGTTTCCACCCGTTGCTCCTTGTCCTGCCTTCAGGCGCTTTGAAAAATAGCTTGACTCCCTCTTCTTTGTGGCAGCCCCTGAGATATTGGAACACTGCTATCATGTCCCCTCTCGTCCTTCTCTTTGTTAAACTAGACATACCCAATTCCAGCAACTGTTCTTTATATGTTTTAGCCTCCAGTCCCCTAATCATCTTTGTTGCTCTTCTCTGTACTCTTTCTAGAGTCTCAACATCTTTTTTACATCGTGGTGACCAAAACTGGATGCAGTATTCCAAGTGTGGCCTTACCAAGGCATTGTAAAGTGGTATTAATACTTCACGTGAACTTGATTCTATCCCTCTGTTAATGCAGCCTAGCACTGTGTTGGCTTTTTTGGCAGTTACAGCTCATATTTAAATGATTGTCCACTAGGACTCTGAGATCCCTCTCACAGTTACTACTATTGAGCAAGGTACCCCTTATACTATACCTTACATTTGGTTTTTCTTGACTAAATGTAGAACCTTACTTTTTTCACCATTGAATTTCATTTTGTTAGATAGCGCCCAGTGTTCAAGTCTGTCCAGATCCTCCTGTATCCTAAGCCTGTCTTCTGGAGTGTTGGCTATTCCTGCCAGCTTAGTATCGTCTGCAAATTTGATGAGTTCCCCATCTATTCCCTCATCCAAATCGTTGATAAAAATGTTGAGCACTGGGCCCAACCCTGGGGCACCCCACTACACACTTCCCTCCATGTAGATGCAGTTCCATTGAGGACCACATGCTGAGTACAGCCGGTCAGCCAGCTATGGATCCATCTGGTGGTGATGCTGTCTAACCCACATTTTTCTATCTTATAAGTAGTACGTTGTGATCTACTTTATCAAGTGCCTTACTGAAGTCCAAGTAAATTATATCCACAGCATTCCTCTGATCCACTAATTTTGTCACTTGGTCAAAGAATGCTATAAGATTTGTCTGGCATGATCTGTTTTTGACAAACCCGTGTTGGCTTTTAGTAATGACTTTGTTTGCCTGTAGGTGTTCGCTGATTCGTTGTTTGATTATCTTTTCCAGAATCTTCCCAGGTATTGAGGTCAGGCTGATAGGTCTGTAATTTCCTGGGTTCTTTTTTTCCCCCTTTTTTGAAGATGGGAACTATATCAGCTCTTTTCCAGTCCTCTGGTAATTCCCCGGTGCTCCAGGATCTCTGAAAAATATAGTTCAGTGGTTCTGAGATCACATCTGCCAGTTCCTTAAGAACCTTGGGGTGTAATCCATCTGGTCCTGATGATCTGAATTCATCTAGGCTGGACAGGTGTTCACTTACCATTTTCTTGTCTATCTTAACTTGTATTTCTATTTTATTTTTTATGGGACTATTTTTGATAGGTTGG